ATTACAGTTTTGCAGTTCAATGCTAATGAAGCTGATGTTGACTGGAGATTGTGGCTGGCAGTGGCAGGCAGGCTGAAGTTGGCTGAGAGTGGGGCTGATTGAGTGGTGCAGAGTTGGACGGGAGAGTATAGAAACACGGTCCAGGAACACAACACAAAGGAGAACTAGATAACGACACAGGTCTACAAAACTCATCAAAGACAAGAGAAGAGTTGGCCATGACACAACAGAGTGATGAGGAGCAGATGAGAAGACAGGGTGCATGTGCCTCAGAGCTTAATTGGTGGATGGGCATCAGGTGTGCAGGTTGATTGCACATCAGTAGATGATTAGAGCGCCAATGCCATACACACAAAAACAACAGAGAAAACAGGGACCAGAAAAATACACAGGAAGGGGAAAGACATACAAGAAATAGAGGGATTAATGGAGAGATAAAGCAGTGACTGTGACATTCTGAGGAGTACAGTTACACTATTTTGCATATTTTATGTTACTTTGGTTCAGGTTCTTTTTAAAGAAAAGAGGTTTCAGGCCGTAAAGACACTTTGTACTTTGCAGTCTGCACTCCTGCAAACCCCTGGGAAATGGGACAGGAGGACACAGAGGAAATTTATAGCCAGCACTCAAAGGGTGGAGGTTTCATTGCAATATCACTGATGAAAGGTTTGATGATCCTCTTTGGGAGGTTTTGCTTTTACTGGGGGAGTTCATCATGCAGGAGTGGTACCTTTATTTCCCTTTGGAATGCCACTTGTGGAGTTCTAGAGTTCATCAAAAGGGAGGAGATAATTTACAGGTGTCATTAGTCCGGCTGGGCAGAAGAAAAGTGCATCAAACAATAAATGAATAGTTTTAAATCTGAAAGGATGAAGAGTAATGTTGCATTTCAGAGTGGAGGAAGAAGTTGGATGGAAAGAATAGAGGCTTGATATTCATATTGAACTGACTCAGGTCTGGCTGCGCTGTCAGGATTTAACCTTTAAGCCTAAAAACACTTAACTACTGTAACAGTTTAGAGTTTTTGCTGGGAGAGCTGTAGAAAGCACTTCTCATACTAACATAACTGTGATTAACTCGGTGAAAAAGAAGCCAAACATCACAAAAATTATAATGGAAACATTTCTAGTAGACTTTATCAACTCGATTCTGTTGTCTGTTCTCATTCTTGTCATTTTTTTCTTGTTTTTTCTTCATGCTCTGTGTATACATTACTAAAAACAGAAAACCTTTTGCTTTGAATTCTCATTCCCATGTGCCAAAAGTATCTTCCTGTTTCAATGAACAGAGGCTATGAATTGCTTTTTAAACTGTTAAATTTCAGGTCTGTTGAACAAGCAAATCATACATGATGCTATAAAAAGATGTCTGAAGCACAGCCAGTATGATGGAGAACAAAGGTATATGTGATCTTCTCCGTGTGCAGAGTGTGATCAAATTGCTGCGCCATTTCCACACTGACTCATAGACCGGGGCCTCAAGGTTGCAATTCCAATATGAAATCAACTCGCTACACCCGCTAGCTGTGATAGACAGCAGCCATCTGTAAACACAATCCCCGAGCAGATCTGTGGGTGTGCCAGTCTAGGCCACAGGGGTCAGGTCTGGGTAAATTCAATGACAAGAAGACAACTATCCATTAGGACTCCTCCACCTTCTCCATCAAAAAGCAATACTTTCTCACAAGATGAGAACATAAGAGGCGCCATAATTGAAGCCTCGGGCTGCAGTCCCCTCTGCCACCAGATAAACTGCACATAATGTATGACTGTGTCTCAGTAAACCACCCGATCATATACGCACTGTTGTTTTTCACTCTATTCATTTGAAGTAAATACTTTAGCGAAGTTAACTACGTAAAGCACTTGCTTTAGTTTGTACTGCAAACATGACCGGGATGCTGGGCAAAATGCTTTGTTCATTTATCATGTTAATTATTGATGTTTTTTATTATTAATTTTAATCTTTTTGTTTCTTTTTATAAAATCCTATTCATATTACTGTACATTTTATCCTCTGTTTTGCAAAAATAGTCTATATTTTCTGAAGCTGTCTTCTACCTGCAAATTAGAGGTGAGACAACATATAAATAGCTTTGATTGTGTGACTCATTGTCCATCAAGATGGTGAAAAACTTGATTTTGGAAGAAAGAAAGAATTGTAAGATAAAGAGTTTTTAGAACATGAGGCTTTTGCGGTAAATGGCCTGTATTTGTATAGCGCTTTATTAGTCCAAGGACCCCAAAGCGCTTTACACATTGTGAGATTATTCTGTTATCATATGTTATCTTATATCTGTAGTTAAAGTAGTTGAATTATGTTAACTGCTGTAGGTCATATAATTTCCTTTTTTTTTAGATGGTGTGCTGTGTATGTAGTTTAGTTCTCATTATACTTTTGGGTTAAAAGAACATATTCATTTTGTAGTTCATTAGATAAAGTGTGCATCACTCTGTATCCTTGATCTGCTGTGAATGTCTCACACTGTGTTCTTGACATGTTTTACTGCTGAATCATGAAAAGAAAGGTTGTATGCAGGAGACTCTGCATCTAGGACAGGGGAGACAGACCACATTCCATACCCCCACCTTTACAGAGAGCAGAAAGACAGGGAGCCGAGGTCATAACTTAGGCGCCGTAACAGAGAAAGAATGTGAATGTTTAGGCTTTTACGACTAGATGGGGGCGACTAGAGGCTATAAGAAGCTGAGTAACCCGTCACCATTTGGAGACATGCTGTGACCCTCTGCAAGCATCTCTCCCGTCCGGACGTTCTTATGCTCTTAAGTGTTGAATTGTATGGAAATAAATGATTGTTGATTGAGCATTTATACACCGAGTATTGTCCTTCCTTCAGCCCAAAGATTTGGGAGATTTTAACAACATCCAGTCATCCACCCATTCACACACTGGTGATGGCAGCTACATTGCAGCCACAGCCACCCTGGGGCGCACTGACAGAGGCGAGGCTGCCGGACACTAGCAGCCTCTGACCACCACCAGTAGGCAACGGGTGAAGTGTCTTGCCCAAGGACACAACGACCGAGACTGTCCAAGCCAGGGCTCGAACCGGCAACCTTCCGATTACAAGACAAACTCCCAACTCTTGAGCCACGATCACCCCATTTATTGGTAATGACTGTGCAGGACAATAGGCAAGGCAGGGGAAATGACACAGCAAATAGTCTGAGGAAGCCTCAAACTGAGTATCAAACTGAGACTCAAACCCAGGGCATGCAATATGGACTGTAGCCTTCAGCACATGGGCCACTGCCTCAACCAGGCGACCTCTGTGACTTGCATGTTTTTATTTCGTATTGTGGTTTAACTTTTTGTGTCTTAAAGGTTTTGAATGGCTTCGTTTTTATTTGTTTTGAACGTCTTATTTTGTTGTGCAAACTCCTGTTTTTTGTTTTATGAATTCTGCCAGATTATTTTTCCTTAGCCCAAGACTGGCTAATTGACATAATTGAGTCACCTGACAGATGGCCACAAGGGCTAAGCCGCAGCTGGAGATAGGTTGCACATCCCTATGACTAATTTGCTGTTTCTCCTTTAGTGTAACATCTAGTGGCAGGTGGCAGGAGACAAGTAGCAGCTGTACATGACCAGGTCCTCCAAAACGTAGTGTTAAGGTTCACATAATTGAGGAAGGAGAGTACAAACAACCAGGTCCAGAAGATCTTGGTCAAACAATTGATTTTAATGAATACACGCGTGGGAAGACCACTGCACGCAGACAGGAATTAATCTTCGACTTAATCAAAGCATACACAGATTTTTATAGCATCAGGGTTTGAATTAATGACGCCCCTTCATACGTCACAGACAGAATATATACACACGTCAAATCAAAACCACAATGACTTTTAACACAGTTTAAAAGAACGTTGTCTTCTATCTTCATGGCCAGTACTTCCTGTCACTGCCAGATGCTCGCTTGTCATCTTGACACCTCAGCAGCAGTTCTGCGACAAACTGCTCTTTTGCAACCCCAAGCAAAACATGATTAAACTTCCACCTATAAATGATTCTCTAACTGAGTGTGTGTGTCGTCCTCAAATGCTCTCTCAATTCACCCGTTGCACTTCTGACCTTTTACCAGACCAGAGGCTCATCCTTATGTGTAATAACCTAACTGAAACTACATATCAATACTGTAAATTATATTATTAATGCAATAGTAATGATGATGATTATTTACCAATAGCAGTAAAATAATTTCCCTGCTCCACAGTAGCTGCCACTGATTAATCATCACTTATTTTACACACAAATAGTGATCAGTAATGTGCAGGGCATCAAATCTCATTTCGACTCTTTCATCCTAGATGCCACCTATAGAATTGCATCCTGATCAGGAAATGTTCCCTGATCTAAAGTTTATTCTAAATCCAGTAGGAACAAAAGTAATAGCTGTGATATGTCTGTCTAAGATGGACAGAGAGACATAATATGCATGCATCAGGTGAAAGAAAAACTGCAAAACTGTCCCTCATGAGCTGTATAAACTGGTAAAAATAGGCTTTTTACCAGTAGGTAAAATAGGATCAGTGGAGTTGAGTTACATAGACCAACATGAATCTGTTCGATTTCTAATTCAATTAAATAAAGGAAACATTAATAATGAGCGGAAACCTGTAATTGTTCAAGACAATCACGGTTTTCCCACCCATATATATGTTCGAATTATGTTTTACTGTTTTAAAATTAATTTGGTCAAGTTGCACTTTTGTACTTTAATATGCTCTGACAGGGGAGGTATATATTACTTGGAATAGCGTGTCCACAAACCCAATTACACTGACTGAGAGTGAAAAACACTATATATCCCATAAATAGATAATAAATGCACGCCTATCATTAGCTAAAATTACATTAATACTGCATTTAAACCACTGGTAGGAATTGAACGGAACCGAGAGTCTGTGTGTTGTTTCCAGACGGTCGAAGGAAGCTTCGTCCGACCTTGTTTTGCATTCGTGTGGGAAGCAGCAAGGATCGTGTTATCTGTTTTGTTTTAACCTTGTTAACTTGATTGTTGCACCATTGTGAGGTTTTGAAGAGTCACGCTTTACAAACAACAGGATACAACTGTTAGCTTCAACGAGAAATAGTAAAAGCCTCTCAAAAAATGCAGTTATGAGGCTAATGGGACTGAAAGCCTCGCTAACGTTAGTCTAGCTGCTTTTATCTCTGCTTTGTTATAATGTCAGCAGCGCTTTTAATGCCCCTGCAATGCAGCCGCCATGGTAAACTTATTTACAAAGTGTTTACGCAGACACAAGGACACAGATACCTCTCAAATGTCTGCCCATCTGCTGAGCACATCAGGAAGTTTATTATAGAAAACACGGAGATAACAGGAGAGCAGAGCCTGACTCCTGAGATCAGGCTGAGGTTATTCACCCCCCGATGCAGATTCTGGCGAGAGAGACCGGAGTTATGGCCCTTTGATGACCCCTACTGGGCTATATACTGGCCAGGGGGACAGGCACTGTCGAGGTAAGATGACAACCATGGCTAACCGGTCACTTTATTAGGTACACGTCTTAAACTGCTCGTTAACACAGATATCTAATAATGTATTCACATGGCTGCAACTCAGAGCATTTAGGCATGTAGACGTGGTCAAGACGACCTGCTGAAGTTCAAACCAAGCTTCATGGGCCTTCCGCATACCTCTACAGTTGTTACCTGACATGTTTTATATCTATATGTTTTCCTCTACGTTGGTGTCAGCTTTAACCTTACAGTTTCCATCGCCAGCACAAAAACACCATCCTACCATAACCACCATCCATTTCTAAGGCAGGTTCTCTCTGATTGTGATCTGTATTAGTGTTAGTGTGTACCACTCTACCTTCACGCCCAACCCTTCACACCATGGCGTTAAATACTTGCAATTTTCTAATAACGAGTGTACCAACTCTATTATAACCATACATTGAAATTCATGTTAAAAAGAAACTTTATTAAAAATTTTATTTCTAACAGAACAGAATAAACTTTCTGGCATATGCAGAAGAGCATTGCTCAACACTCAGCGGCAGAAGACCACACCAGGTGGCACTCCTGTCAGATGAGTATTGTTACTGTCCGTCCTTTATACCCACCATGTCACAAATCATCTCAAACTGGCTTCTTGAACCCAAAGATACACTTCAGAATGCTTTTAAGACATCAGGGTTCCGCTCCGTCATGCATTAACAAGAATATGACATGCATCAGTTACAGTAAATGGTCAATTAAAAAAAGATAAAAACAGACAAAGAAGTTCCTCTTTCTATCACATTCTTCCATACATGGCAATTTGTTTCACCCTCCAGATGGTCCTTGAGGGTTTACAACCTTCTCGACTCTTCTTCTGTCACCTGTTACTAGGCAAACTCAAATGCAGTTAGAAGCAAAATGAATTCCAGGCCTTTGGCCTGGCCTTTCTTTAAAATCATTTATGTTTGTAAGCATGTATGCTTGTTAACCTTCTGTTGCTCCAAGTCACTTACACCATGGATCGTCGGGACATCGCGCCACACGAAACTTAAGACCTTTAAATAGACTGAGCATCAACTCTTTCATGAGCACAACCTGCAATGTGTGTATAAAATGATTATAGCCGCACCTTTAATATAAGTTTTAATCTAATGCCAGTAGCTCTTAATGAACGTTTTAATGCAATGATAATGATGAAAGCTATGTGTAGCAGTAAAATATTTTCTTTATTCCCACACACATCATGTGTTTGCAGCTGACAAATCTACAGCAACTTTATGATACTGTCATCACAATATAGACTACAAAGAAGGTGCACCTAATAAAGCGCTAGCTAGTGTAGTTTTTGATGTCCAGCGATTTCTGATAACAAATCGTTTGTTTTTCTTTAATGACTTCCTATTAAAGGTATATCTTAGATAACCCTGAGGTGTGCCGGAATCAGACAGTCCTGGATCTGGGAAGCGGCTGTGGAGCCTCTGCCATTGCTGCAACACTGCGTGGTGCTGCTCACGTAGTAGCTAATGACGTTGACACTGGTACGCATTTGTGTGTATTTATTTATGTGTTCACATAATCTGTTATTGTTGCTGAATGTTTCTGAACTGTTAAATAAAAAAGCAGGAATTATGAGAAAGTAGGTTTGTTGTTAAAATGGTTCACATGTGCATTATTTACGCTTTGCAAGGACATACACTTTATCCCTCTGTTAAGAGATGTACTCTAAAACACTTCTTCAGTAGAGAATCAGAGAAGAGAAACACGCAGAATTTCTTGCTAGCAAGGGCAGCCTCCAGAACTGAGACTCGCACTGAGAAACTGCCCCGGTCTTTATTTATACTTCAGTG